GCATGTAGGTAAGTGCACCCGTGTTGTGCAATGCCTGCGGAGGACAGAAGAGGCTGTCAGATCCCCTGGAACTAGAGTTACAGACAGTTGTTAGCTGCCGTGTGGGTGCTGGGATTCGAACCCGGGTCTTCTGCAAAAATAGTCAGTGTTCTTAACCGCTGAGCCACCTCCCCAGCCCTCAAACTATACTATTTTGAAGTATTGTATTCTACTACAGAAATGATATCTTTTCACTACAAACTGAAGTTCTCCGAGAGGCTCTGAAAGTAAAGGGATACATGCTCATCCTTGGAAGTCCTGCCACGGGACCAAGCATCTCTTTTCTCAGTTTGCTTCTTCAGTGTTCGCAGAGGACCCTGCTTGCACCCTGTAAGGTGCTAAAATCAAATCCTAGTAAAACCATCGAATGTTAAAAACTAAAAGCATGTTTTCCTTCCTCTGCATGGATGACCAAATTAGACACTGGGTTGTGAGCAGTATGTTTTGGAGACGGCTGCTCTAAGGAGTAAGAAGTGAGGAAGCAGTTTCAAAGAGGAAGTGGAGGAGCGATGAGGTCATTCTTGTGTTTGAAAGGACTGTCCAGAAACCATCCATATGCAACATGGGTTGGAAGAGGGGAAGGGATCCCAGACTAAGCACTAAGCACAGGGCTTGCTTGAAGGAGTATGTTCAGAGAGAACTGGCAAGAAGAAAAAAATAAAGCTTTTGGTTGGAAATAGAATATGCACTAAAGTATGTTAACAATCTACCTCCAAGTTCATTCATTGTTGGATACAAAAGCTGTTGGTACTGTTTCCTGAGACCGAGGATGTAAAGTAAATTTGGGGCAAAGGTTAATAAGAGCACTTAAAAGTTCAGCTTAAATCTGGGGCTGAAGAGATGTCTTAGGAGCACCGATTGCTCTTGCAGAAGACCTGGGTTTGATTTGCAGCACCCACGTGGTGGCTAACAACCATCTGTAACTCCAGTTCCAGGGGATCCGATGCCCTCTTCTGATTTCTGTTGTTCTGTGCACAACACAGGAGCTCTTACATACATGCAGACAATACACTCGAACACATAAAATAAAAGCAATGTTTTTTTAAAAAAAAAAAAACTTAGCTCAAATCTAAGGATGTGAGATGCCTTCCAGTTGCTAGGGAACCCAGAAAGTTTCATGGAAGAAGTGGCATTTGAATAAGCAAGATATAAATTAATGCAATAGGCAACCTGGGGACCAACAATGCTCATTCACCAATGGTTGTGTCTGTCAACAGGTATGTGAGATCCAGAACTAAGCATGATGTTGACATGCGAATTGGAATCCATTCCGGCTCAGTGCTATGTGGTGTGTTGGGCTTGCGGAAATGGCAGTTTGATGTCTGGTCTTGGGATGTGGACATAGCGAACAAACTGGAATCTGGAGGAATCCCTGGGTAAGCAAAGAAAATGCCTTTTGTGCTTAATTTTGTCATTTTCTAACTTTGGGATACCAGCATTTCTGTGTGTAGAATTCAAAGATAGAGATCCAAGAAGTTATTCAACAGGAAACCAGACATTAAAACATCATGCAATATTAGCCTTAAAATTCTGAGGAAATATCCTAGGGATAGCAATAATGGTGTGGCAATAAGGAGAGTTATGGTGATGACTTTAGATCTTTGCCCATAAAAGAATTGGTTCTTATACTTGGCTGTAGATTAGAATCACAGTATTATAAAATATTGATGCCCAGACCCCATACTGGGTCATCTAAAACAGAATCTGTGCAGAATCCATTTTAAGTTTTTAAACTAAGTCTAGTGAACATTCAAGGTTAAAACCTGTTGACTATCAGTGTATATATGACCATAGGCTACATTCCAGAAATTCAATGCTTTCTTTGAATACTCAGATACGTTCCAACTTTCATAGGCAAGATTGGTTGCTATAGAGTGTCTGAAGATGGTAGTAGACTGGGAAGCAGCACTAAAGAAGTACCAAAATTCTGTTTACACAACTGGGGATAATGAGCTCACAAAGGTCTGTGAGCAAGTGAGTTATACTGACTTGTTTCAGTCTCTCTTTCTGAGATATGATTGATAGATAGAAGATGATAGATGATAGATAGATAGTACATAAATAGATAGATAATAGGTAGATGGATAGATGGTAGATAGATATAGATGAAAGAAAGAAAGAAAGAAAGAAAGAAAGAAAGAAAGAAAGAAAGAAAATAGGTAGGTAGGTAGATAGGGTAGGTAAGTAGATAGAAGATAGACAGACAGACAGGTAGATAAGTATATAGACAAGAGAGAGAGAGAGAGAGAGAGAGAGAGAGAGAGAGAGAGAGAGAACAGGTATTATGTATCTATCTCCCCACCCCCAGACCTGCCTTTGGAGTCACAGATTTCTCTAACACCTATCATATCCTGTTTCTAACTATATTTACAACCAAGCAATGTATTATTATGATGAGAAAACTACAGGATATAAGTTTAAAGAAACTAGGACTCCTCCTTTGGTTGTGCTAAGCTCTGTCATCTTCTGCAACTTAGGTGAAGTATGTACCACACCTGACATGAGATTTTTAAGGGGAACTTGACTTGCATCACTGTATCTGCATGAGTTCAGACTAGTGGTTGATGTTGAGTATCAATCTATTCACTGCAGAAAGAGAGAAAATGTTTATGGTATGAAATTTTGTGAATTTATTTCCCTCCTCCCTGAAAATTATTTCCCCATCTTCTAAATGGGCATCATCCATCTCCAAGATTATTTGTAGGATTATCTGACACCATGGGTGAAAAGCACTATTTCTGTTTTTCTTTTTGCTTTTGTTTTCATTGTGCATTTCATAAAGGGGCTTGTTAAGCCACAGATCTCTGGGACACACCCTCAGAGTTTCTGAGTTGGTATGTCTGGGGTGAGATCCAAGCAATATGCCCTTCTAACAAGTTTCTAGGTAATGGTGATAGAACTGACCTTGATATTACACTTCAAAGATTACTGTTTTTAAGTTTTTGTTAATTGAGACACCATATATAAAAACCTTTGTCCTATACCCAATAGACTAATTATGACTGTGGCTGTAGTAGTTACCATATCATTCAGCCACAGGTTTTGAGAGATCCTGAAAGAAAAAGTGCTGTCTCCACTTAACACTGCTTCTAGCCTCTGACAGCACTTTGGGTTAGATATGTACTCACTGTCCCTGGGCTGGTTTTGCCATCTCAAAGGAGAAAAAAAAAGACAAATATGAAGAAAGAAAGAAAGAAAGAAAGAAAGAAAGAAAGAAAGAAAGAAAGAAAGAAAGAAAGAAAGAAAGAAAGAAAAAGAAAGAAAGAGAGAGATGCCTAGGGCTATTGGAGGAATAGTAATCATATCAGATCATTCACAGAGTGAAGCATGTATAATATCTTTGGCTGAAAAATAGTGTTTATATAAAAGAAATACTACACAGTTGTTAGGTATTATTTACTATCATGACTATCATTATTATATTGAGGCATTTTAAATTATAAGAAAATGTCGGATTTACCTGACATCCAACATATGAGAGAATTCTCCAAGAACAGATTTATGTCCTTAAAGGAGATCTCAATCACTGGGCCCTTATCTCTGAAAAGGCCTCACCTCAAAGCTCGTTAGCAACAAAGACGAAAAGAACATCTAAAACCCATGTTCTATCAAAACATCCCAGTGTAAACTGAATAGAACTTCGATAGACTTGGTATTAAGTGAAGACTGAGAGTCCTTTCTCCACTAAAAAACATAGTATTGATTTAGCATATGGAAGTTTCAGTCTCTAAGAACACTGAACAGAATCATACAATGTAGAATCCAGATGAAATGACAAAGAAAGTTGGTATTTACTGTAGGTACTTTTTTTTATACCCATTTCCCAGATAGCACCCTCCCATAGCCTCCCTCCCCCCACTAGAGCCCTTATACTCTGATATCCCTGCTACTGTCTGCTGTTTTGTCAGCATCCCCAGCCATTCCACACTACTTTCCCTTCTGGTGAATCTAGTCAGCCTATCTAGAGGTCTTTGTTTTAGGAAGGTCAGCTGTTCCTCATCTAGTGGTAATCAGTTGTCAATATTCCTTTGGATAAGATTGGGGTCTGCTGTTCATTTTCCCAGTTCTATGCTGGGTTCCCCCAGATGGGAATCCCTTTGGCCACCCTGGCCAACAACTCAAAAGAAGGTATCGCCTGTCTGCCGTTGTTGCTTGTTATGTAGCCTTTGGCTATACATATGGACTCTTAAGAAATTATATTGGCCCCTTTAATCTTTGGTTATACTTTCCTTTTGAGTGTTTAAGGCCATACAGTTGGTTCAGATAAACCAATTTATATTTACTCTTAAGGTCGTTTGAAGATCTGTTCCTCAGGGATCACATGGGTTTGGGAGGAGCCCCTGGCTCCTTTCTTTTACCAGTTCTGCCTAAGTGAAGATAAGTCAAAGGTCCTGCTCAACCATGGTTGGCTTCTCTTGGAAGCATGGAGGAAATGATTCCTCTGTGTTGACCCTCTTCTTTATAGTCTGGACACTGGTTCAAGTCCCCCTGATAGGGTCTCCTCGGCCTCCTTGATCAAGAGGACAGGTGACCCACCACCATTATAGAATATTTTGAGAGATGCTCATAGTCCCCTGGAACTAGTCGACCTAGGAGGGCAAGGAGCAAAAAGTGTCCTTTATGTCCTTCTGACCAAATTGTTGTAGGCCTCAAAGTATGTCTGTTAAACACCCAAGAATGTTAATTCCACTGTAGGTACTTTTAAAAGAAAGTCAGGCATCAGACTTTACAGAATCCTTCTAGAAATTTCATTTTGCCTGAGAGAAAAAGGCAGCCTTCTAGTTCCTAAATCTTGACTTGATCTGAGAAAGCAGATTCAGGGTTCCTGTTTCATGGAAGGACAAATGATTTTTTTTCATTTTCCCAGGTCAACACTATTAAGTTTCTATGTGTTCACAAAAAATATCAGGAAAGTCATTTTCAATTTATTTGGCACCTTTCTTAAGAGAATACAAACTGCTTTCCTACATTTGTTTTATTATCTTGGACTTGAAATCAATACATTTAGGAGATACAGTGAATGTGTCCTAAATGGGTACAAATGCATTGTTTATGTTTTTTGTTTCTTTGTTTTCACAGTGAACTATTTTCCCTGTAAGCAGGAATTTGGCAGAATGGACTAGAAAGGGTCAGAGGGAGAAAAAGAAATGGTACTAAAGTACATGCACATGGAAATACCACTCTAAAAATACTGAAACTTGGAAAAGAAAGAAGTCATCATTGTTTCTTTGAATATATTGCTTCTAGAATCACAACACCCAAGCAAAGAATTACACATCTGACCTGCTCGTCCTGCTCGTTCACTCAAGAGCACACATGTAGCTTAGGGAAATTTTAAGCTAAGTTTGGAAGTAGGGCACATCTAGCAAGCCTTCACTCACACACTGAATTGAAAGAAAAAGCAACTGCTTGAATGACTGAGGACAGCATGAGGGACAATAATGAAGGACTGACAGCTTTGAAAGGGCAAAGTCAGTGATCAGAGGCCGTGAAGGCCTCATTCGAAAAAGTTAGACCATCTCCCAAGGGGGCTTTAAGGAGACACACAATGTACTGTAGCAGGGTCATGGTGGTGTTTAAGTATTTGCTTTATGGCATGACTACTTGGTACAAATCAGCTCTTACAGTACTCCCAATGACCTCATGAGATATGTACTATTATTTTTATTATGTTAATAGGTAACAAATGGACTCAGAAGTATAAAGTAATTTTTCCCAGGAAGGAGTAAATCTAGGGTTTGAAACACAACAGTCTAGCAACAAAGTCCATGTTCAGAACTCTTTTGCTAGTCTAACTGGACCACAGTACAAGACAAGAAGTCATCTGATTGATTTAGACGGTTTTAAGAACAGAAAATCTCTTACTTCCCCATAATGAATTACTACATGAGGTTGCCAAAATTCAAGTTTGATCCTATTTGTATTATATTTTGCTTTAAAAAGAAGCTTGAATCATGAGCTACGAGAGTTGCTTAACCTGTGAGTGAGCCAGGCTCCAGTTTGCATGTCTATGTCGCTGTCAGCTCCTTGGAAAAGAGAAATAGGGGATATCACATCTTACATTAATTTTCTAAAAGGGTTCTCTATATTGTCCTATGGACTTACAAAACCTGGACTTGTTCTTAAGATACATGCAGACAAGTTGGAGACTCTAGGCACAAATATATAAACAGTGAAATGATAGGAAAAACATTAAGAGATTCAGAGAAATATGCAGTCTAATAATTTGACTAATTAATTGCCTTTGGAATCAGAAACAGTTCCATCATTTTTTTCCTATATAGTCAACACCATTGAAAACAATCACCGATTCATAGAAAATTCTGACAGTAATAGGAAAAGCCAGAAGAAGTGCTTTAGTGTGATCAGCAGGGCTGTTTATCTGAGGCTACAGTGTCCCTGTGATAAAGGATCTCCAGTTTACTTTTCTTCTTTCGTCTTTGGAGGAAGGCAGATTTGTCCTTGAGAATGTGTCTTAACAGTGTCCTATGTGCAACCCTAATGCCAATTTTGCATACAACAAAAATCAACAATAGCCTTTGCAGGCAGCATCAGCAATTATGATGACCTATGCTCTGTTCACACAGGAGAATTCACATTTCCAAAGCCACACTGGACTGCCTCAATGGTGACTACAATGTGGAAGAGGGCCATGGTAAAGAGAGGAATGAATTCTTAAGGAAGCATAATATAGAGACCTATTTGATTAAGCAGCCTGAGGAGAGTTTGCTGTCCTTGCCTGAAGACATTGTCAAGGAGTCTGTGAGTTCCTCAGACAGGAGAAACAGTGGGGCCACATTCACTGAAGGATCCTGGAGCCCAGAACTGCCTTTTGATAACATCGTGGGAAAACAGAATGTAAGTCCTCTCTTCCTTCTTCTAGTTAACGGTAAATGCATGCCTCAGTGAACCTTCAACCCAGATGCCTCAGAGAAAACTGATTCATCTTTAACCTGTTCTCTCCTGAGTTCCTTAACTGCAAGTGATCAAACATATTGACTCAGGACAGAATTAACCTATGTATGGAATTTCAGGAAATGGTGGAAATGCCAAGTTCCTGTCTCCCTCTTCACTTTTGTGTGTTGCTAAAACATGAACATTGTGTGAAGCTGAATTATAAGTTGATTTTAAAAAATCATTTGTATTGGAAAAGGTAAACCCAATGTTAGGACCTCAAAGAGGATGATCAAGTACATGAGAATCCTTCTCTTTAGCCAACACTTCTGAATCTCCCTCTGAGATTAAAACCAGGAAGGCAACATAATATGGAAATATGAAAGCAACACTGAGTAGTGCTCACAAGGAGAGCAGGCAGCTCTACAACAGCATGCAACGTCTACCCACGTGACCTACTTTTTACATATCAGGCTTTGTATCTTCTATCAAAGGACTCCAAAATGAATATATATGAAACAAATCACTAATACTCAAAATATTTTTAATTAGTTGTTCAGATACAAGTATCACATTAAGCCCAATGAGGTGTTTAGACTCTGAGAGGCACTGGAGAGATGAGTCTGAACAAGGTTAAGAGCCAAAATTAAGAGAGTCTATCCAACCAGCCAGCCCAGAACTCCAGCTGCTCTGACATGGGTTTTCCATTTATCAGTTTAGACAGAGCACATATAGTTGAAGTTATGTTAAATGGTATAACTTCACAATACTTTTTAAAAGAAACAAATGATAAAAGCCAATATTCATGATTTATGTTTATGTTTATGACAATAATGTTTATGACATTCAGTATTCAAGATTTATCTAACCGCTCATGGCATTCAATGTTCAAGATTTATCTGTTCGTGACATTCAATATTCAAGATTTATGTAACTGTTCATGATACTCTCCCGGGCCAAACAGAAACAGAGATCATTAAGTAAAAAGATCAAGCCAACAGTGTTGTCTTCATACCCATAGACAGCACATTTCTCATCAACTTGTAAATAAAAGACATCTGTCTGTTTAAAGACATTTGAAATAGAAAGGATTAAAAATCCTGAAATCTTACCTCTTTCTTCTCCATTAGAAGATTGATGAGCACTCTGAGGCCAGTTTACCTACAATTTCCTTCCAGTTCTGGAGGAAGGAACTATGAGACAATGCATGCACCAGATTCCATTGAGGAAAACTGAAGATTGAACATACCCAGCATGCCTTGTAAACCTTCACCCTTCAGCCTTGTGTGTGTTTAGTTTACACACAAAATTTTATTATGCCCATACAAGTCATCATTGATTTCAATGTTGACCTCTTTCACCCCTGAACTGGTACACATGGTGCCTGCTGTTATACAAAATAATGATGTGAATACTTCTGTTGTTATATAAAATAATGGTACATATACTTCTGGAGTGAGTGCATGGCCAACTGACAGTGCCTTTTCTGTTTCTTCTGCCTCTTCCCAGCTGGAGGGAAAATGCTAGTTATTTACAGTGGAGAGATCTGCATGCCTTACCCTGACATGGCTTAGTCATTTTGCATTAATTTCTCTCTCTTCATTGATTTCCATTCATCTTTCCTTTTGGAAAATTCACATGTAAGCTGGTTGTGGGACCTGGAATAATTCTTTAGTGTGCTAATCTTAGTGGTAGCTGCCCTTGCTATTAATAATTGAGAACCAAGAAGAGAGAAATTGAGATGTGTAGTTCCATTTCATGGTTGATTTACTGGACAAACATTTTGTAAGCAATTGATTTTATAAGCAAATGATATATGTTTTGGCTACTATCCTAAAGATGTTTGCTGATGACATTAAGTGGTTAGTATAGATGTTGTCATGGTATCAAACACTGTTATCCTTACTACTTAAACACACTATATATTTTGTGTAAGTGAGTTCTGCCTATATGAAACCTATCTGTGCCATCTTCTATATGAATAATTTCATTTATTTTTATTTCTTCAGACTTAAGTGCCGGTAAATGTATACTGATCTCCATGAATAACCATGTGATACTAGAAACATTTTGAAAATGATTGAGCCAATTAAAATGATCATGACTGTTAAGAGTTTGTACTTATACTTAACTTGAGAAATCAATGAGCCATATGTATAATTCAGAGACTTAATGTGCCCCTGGAAGAGATGAAGACTGGTCTGGCTGAATCTACACTGTGCCAGAACACCCACTCAGTTCTACAGAATCCCAGACCAACTGAATATTTGCATAATGCAGAGAAACCATACTTATGTTTCATTGGGGGGGGGGCATTCTAGCTAAATTGGCTAGATGTTTGAGCTTCTATTGATTCACAATGTGTGCTTAGAACTGGAGAGAGGGAAGGAGGGAGGGAGGGAGGGAGAAAAAGAGCAAGGAAGAAAGAAAATGGAAGGAGGGAGGGAGGGAGGAAAGGAGGCAAAGGGAATTAAAAACAAGAAACATTTTAAAGGCAAAGTCAGCTACTACTTCACATGCTTCATAAAGACAGGAATTACATATCTTTTCCTTATCAGTATTTACTCCATAATTAAATGATAAGTCACATGGCAAGATTAGTTTGTTGAATGAATGAATGATAGACATGGTTGGTAAAGGAGGCAAAATAGGTCTGATTTTGGCTTCTGGGCTTTTGGCCTGGAAGACTATGTAGATGACAGAACTGCCTAATTAGAAGAAGCAATTCTGAATTAGAAAGAAAAAGAGAAGGAAAGACCAGGAATTCATTTTGGGACTTGGTGGCTTATGGTGTCTGGTGGATAACCAGGGAGAGAGATCAAAATGCTCTCTCACTCATGCTTCCAAAGTTCTGCCAGGCAGGTAGATCTAGTCCTCATCAGAATTCCAATGTTGTAGAAGCCAGGAGGAGAGAGACACCTTAGAAAATGGGTAAAGTTGGAAAACGAGGAGGTATGGAGCAGACACTGAGGAACACTATGCAAAAGTGAATGGGATTCCTTGAAAGCAGCAGAGAAGAGCAAACAAGTCAGAAGAGTTCTAGGGAGTGTGATGTCATGGAAGCCTAGCATTTTGAGAATGAGGAACCAGCAACAACCAAAGGCAGCCAGAGTCCTAATAACATGGAGATTCAAAACTGTTCATTGGAGTTGGAACTGAAGAACTGACAAGAAACACAGTTGGTCAGATGATTAAATCAGAAGCTAAGTTGTAGTTGGTTCGAGAGGTACCTGGCTTCTAAGAACTCCAGCTCCACGCCTGTTTTCTCCTTTCTGCCTATGTTAGTCATCTGTCAGTGGCTTAGGGGAACAAATAAAATCCCTCAGAGCAATCTCTGACCCCTTCTCTGGCTTTTCCAGTTCCTTTTTTGCTCCTTTCATTTTGGCGATGGGTATCTTCCCTGTTTCTATATCTCTGTTCATGTAGGTTAAAATACTTATTTGAACCAGTCTGGGTGCTACTATCCAGGCTGATCTTAAGATTATGCTCTGAAACCCTGAATCTAGACACGTGCTAGTGTTCTGCCCAAAGGCTTGATGTCTGGACTCCTAGACCGTGGCTCAGTTACCACTGAAATCTCTGGTGTCCTGAGTTTCAAAGGAAGCTTGAAACTCCTACAATGGAAGGAAGAAATCTAAAAGACAAGTTTTTGATCACAAATGGACTAGTAAAATTTAAGACTACAGAAGTAAAAGAAGATAGCTAAAGTAAACCAAAAGTAATATATTCAGTGTTTTATATACATATATTTAGTACACTGAATACAACATATTTAATATGTAATATACCTAAATTCCAAGACAGAGTGTTGGAATCTCTCAGAATAAAATCAAAACTGAACATAAAAGAAGTATCTGTTAGTGTAAAGACAGGCTTTGTCCGTGTCTCGCGGGAACTTACATTTCAGGGGAGTGGGGAAAGAAAAGGGGTTAGCCAAAATGTATAAGTGATAGGAGAGAAATAAGGGCACGTGTCTAGGGAGCAACGAGGCTCACTGCAGGTGAGATGTTCAGAGAAGGCCTTCCTGAAGATTCAATCTCAGTGAAGGAAGAAACCGGAAGGCAAACTAAGATGAGGGTGTTTTGAATAGATGGGCAACACAATGACTGAGACAGAAAACAGTTTTGTGTGCTAGAAGGGTGAAAGCCTTCATTGCTACACATAGTATGCAGAGAAGAGACTTCAGAGAACCCAAGGCAGGTGGAAGCTTAGTTTCCCAAGCCTTGTGCAATCTGTATTTCATTCCAGGGGTGGGGAGGGCTGCAAAGGTTTTAAGCAGGGCAGGGATGTGATCTGATTTAGATTTTTAGGAGATCACTTTGCCTGCTAGAGGATGGATTGTAGGGGTAAAAGTAAACTGATCACACAAAACGCATCTTAGATGCGCATTTATAAACAGACGACAAAGGAGTGAGGCTCTTATAGTGCTAGTAAATTTATGTAAATATTTGCCCCCACCTGCGGGGACCCTGTACAGGTAAAGCTCGAGGGGGACCACTCCCTGAAAGGAAAAACGGGTGAGAAAGAGGAGACGGAGCCCAAGCAAGTCCACTTGTCAAGGGTCGCTTTATTGTACTGCAAGCCTTTTTATATACAGTTTGTATTCAGAGGGGGTTGAAGAAGTTGGTCAAAGGTTACAGCATTCTTATGGGTATGGGAGGGGGACTGAGCAATTCAGCAATGTGACAGACCACCAGATGTTCCAAGAGATTACTGCATGACTCATTTTTCCGAGAACTGTTTGCAAGAGAAAGAGAAAGATAACCTTGCCATACATTCTTTCTCAAGGTTACTTGTGCAAGCAGAATTTCCTGCTTAAGTCAACTGTTTGTAGAGCTATTTTATATTTTTTGGTAATGATTGTTGTTTCTCCAGCTCCCGACATCTCACCCTTTATTAATAACTTTAGCGAAGGAAGGATCTGTCTTAGGAAATGTGGTGGGTCCCCCGAGTCGGGATTCTTG